AAATAATTAAATAATAAATAATTATTTGATACACAAAGTGATATTTTTTATAGTTTCGACCAATGCAGTCCAAATCGGGATTTTAAGTAAAATCGAAAACTAAGGTAGAATCGGAATCGTAGATTAAAATCGTAAAATCGTAAGATTTTAAGGTTCATATTAAATAATCACTTAAAACACCATATAGTAATAAAAATGCATATCCTGAATAACAATCAACCACATATAACATAATTACTTTCCAAGATAAGTTTGTTTGCTAAATTAATACAACTAAATCCATATATCTATTCTTGTACATAATATAAACGCACAAATAATCAACCTGAAACCCAAATGAAATCACTTAATTAATAGTTAAGAGTAGAAAATCACATAAGATCGTTAGGATCAACATTAATATCACTTACACATCATCATCATCATCCTCACGCTCACCCTCACTCTCACTCTAACTCTCATCCTTGTCTATTTGCTTAAGGACTAATATAATTACTCTTAAGATCACTTGAAATACTTTCACCATTAACCATATTTCCTTGATCACAAAGATAACTCATTGATTGATGCATTCCCTTCTTAATTGATAAAAGGTCGGGGATAGTGCTGCTGAAGGATTGAGAGATGAACGAATGATTGCAATGGAATGGAGATTTGGATTTTTGTGAGGGTGGTGGGAAAAACCTACAAGCTAATTGGGAGAGTGGAAGATATCGTTGAAGGAAGGAGTTGGGCGTCGACGTGCGAAAGAGGAAGAGAATGAAAATAAATTGAGTGTTTTCTATTGGGTTAGGGTTGCGTTGTTCATTATGTTGGGTCGTGAGAAGTAAACTTGACTTGGTTTATGGACCGAACCGGACTTGACCAGCCTCATTTTGCTCCAATTGATGTGAACCTTGAAATCGTACAAAATCGTAAAAATCGTAGATTTTAAGGATTTTAGAGTTTCCCTGATTTTATGGGATTTTAAGGTTCAAAGATTTTCAATTAAAATCATGATCGGAACCCATAGGTAAGATCGTAAAATCGGGATTTTGACTACATTGGTTTCGACTGCCAATTTATTTTAATTTATCAAAATTTCCGGAAAGATTATATCTTGGACGATTAAAAATTATGTTATCACATATATATTCTAAATGTAATACATTTAGAAAAAAATATGAGTATAAGACTGTGCTTTTTATCCATAAAATATTATATTTAATGCTTATAACAAGTTGAACAACGACTAGCACCACACTCACAAACTAGTAATAGTGTTTGATAAATTTACAAGGTCGGTCGTGGTGATGGTTACCCTGCTTATATATGGATGGGAATGGTTACCAACTTAGTACCCAAAATCTATTTACTTAGAACGGCATTGATATTAATTATGTGGTATATATATTATATATATATATATATATATATGGTGGCTTCTATGGTACCTCGGGTGAAATCTGGGGTACCGCATACCTCGAGTATGGAAACTCTATCTAGACCTCGAATTACCAGGATTTTTGTGTCTGATATTATACCCTAACCCTTAATGAGTGAACCCTAGGTCATAATTATCTAAATCATAATCTATAAACCCTAAGATGTTGCATTCCTTTTTGTGCCTATATTTGGATGAATCATAACCGTCGATTATTATTTCTAATTAAATTGATATTGGAGTATAATATTGGGAGAGTTAACACCTAGATTTTGATCTTTAAGTGTTAGAGTATAGTATCATGTCCGAAAGATCGGTCAATTCAAGGTCTAGATAGTGTTTTCATACTCAAGGTATATGGTACTCCGGTTTTCACCCAGGGTACCGTAGAACTCGCCATATATATATACACGTACGTACGCACGTGTTACACTATTAGCTAGTTAGTGAGACCACTCGAGATATCGCCGTGAGTGCTAATACGACATTTGATTTAGACATGATGCTAATCAGTTTGGTACGTAGTCACATATTATTAATTTCTTTTTGGGTTCCACATACTTATTATCTTCTTTAAGAACTGAATACATCATTTTTAAAAGCAACACTTGGTGAATGGTGATGAACATGGGACAAACGGAGAGTACAACCTAGCTAGCCTGAAAGAAGAAAAAAAGGGACACATATTGGTCTAGTGATATGATGATAAAGATATGAATTGGGTGGTCTAAAATTGATAAAGAAAATAACCGTCAAGTAATCATATTTGGAGTTTATGGAGGTTGGTTATTGAATCAGATTGTCATTTGGTTAACCGCATGTAGTTAATTTCGTCGACCACAAGGTTGGTCAAGTCGATTATATGGCCAATTAGGTAGACCACTTCTACTTCTGTGATAATAGAGATGATCATTAAACAGTAGAAGTTTTGTCAAGTTTGTTGTAAATAATTTCATTTTAGTGGAGTTTTGTCACGTCTCTCGTATATAATTTGGGTCGAGAAATTGAAGACTAAGAAACGAAAAAGGATGAACATAATAATGATGACATTGAAGAAGTAATATAAAGTAATCCAAATTTGAGTTACTAAAGCTTAATAACGTACAGAAGACTATTCTTCGTAGCCTATAATAAATAGTAACATTAAGTTCTAATCTCATAAATTGTATAATGTTAATCCCAGAAATCCTTGCATCCACAAACCACTTCAATATTCAACCATGAAGCTTAAATCGCGAAATCCTAAGTCCTAACTATAAAAAAACATGAAATCTCTAAATCCTAATTAAATTGCAAATCCTAACACTTGGAGCCCTAAAAACTAATACCCTAAAACTTGTTACCCCTAAACCCTAAAAATTGTTAAATTGCACCATCCATAAACTAACCATAAACTTGTTAATAACCCTATACCCAAATACCAAAACCCCAACTCAAAACCTAAAATTTGGAACCTAATCAATGAACCCCCTAAAAATTGGAACCTAGCCCCTTAGTTAATAACATAATACGCCAAAATTTCTAGAACGTGTTAAGATATTATTGAAATTGTTCGATTAGGTCGATTGATTTGTTATTTTGATCGACTAATTTTGTTTGCATTTGCTAGAATTTGAGGGTTATATATTCATAGTGCTCCGCCCATTTAAATAACATTCTTTTATCCAAACGACCACTTAAGTTTGCATTCTTTTTCCTCTTTATCGGGATTTCCTTTTTCATTTATCGTTTACTAATTTTTTCTGACATAACTAAGGACAAAATTAATCACACTTCTTTAGCTAAACTATCATGTAAAAAAATTTACAAATACGAAAAAATTAATCACACTCCTTTAGCTCAACTATCACATATTTGCACCATTTTGGATCTTCTCCATGTACTAATGAAAAAAATTACTTATGAGCCAGTAAATCACAATTACTTACTTGTATATAAGGATCAATCCACGAGAGGGCTAGTTTTGTTTTATGAGTTTTAAACTTTTGATAGAGACACAACTTGTTGAATAATTGAGTACTCATTTCTTATGTCAAAGTCGCAAGCTTTCATTTCAAATAATTGTCGTCCCATCTTTGCGTTTGTTCTTAAGTTTTTCCAAATTCTAAAATTAGGCGATGGAGTGATCACTGTAAGTGTTTTTTCCAAAATAGTTTAATCGAGTAAACGACATACACGAGTTGAAATAATCCTAAGTTTGGACTTTGGAACCGTCGTTTCCAAGCTAATTTTCAATTACTATAATTACTAAAAATAATTCAATTCCACGCATTACATTTTATACCCCTAAAATGAAAAGCTACTCGTGCAACAAGGAATAGATCACACTCGAGGGAAGGAATGGTTATAAAGGACTAGAGTGGGTCGATTGTCTTAGCTAGTGGAGTTCATATCGATAATATTGATGACCCACCACTAGAAAAATTATTAGTCCTCCGCGAGGTCATCCATTGGTGTCTGGATTGTGGCCTCTCGCAGGTTTGTTTTGAAGGGGACGCGAAGGTGGTCATTGACAAGATAAACCAAGTCAATAAACATGGTAATCACTCTGGAGCCATTCTCAAAGAAGTACTTTGTCTGTTGGCAATTCAAAATGGTCTTAACCTACGATTTGTAGGTCGGAAGCAATAAGGTAGTCCATTTGGTGACTAGAAAGACTCTTTCTTTACACCCAATTACTTGTTGCTATTGTCAAAAAAAAACAAAAAAAAAAATTACTTGTTGCTCTTCTGATTTTCTGTCCTGGTTGTATATCAGGTTGTGATGTGTTCAATTTTATTTTTAATCAATACAATATTATCTTTTGTCAAAAAAATAAATAATGAAACAAAGTAGTGCAAAACCATATTCGAAGTAAGAAATCTAACCACCCAAACGAGGACTTAAAAAATCTTAAAAACTTTTATTTTCCTAATCCATCGGGCCATCACCATTTATTTTGAATTCTCTTCTCCGAATATATAATAATAATAATAATAAAACATCAACAAACATAGGCATACAACTGTAAGGTACAGGACCTATATGAAGCAATATAAGCTGTCTCATTTATTTGTTTATATATTGCTGAACAACCTCCATTTCATTTTTGTATTCTGATGTTTCATGGCTGTAGTGTAGACTTGCTTCCTAAGCACAAACCTCAAAAAACCCACCAAGAAACCCACACCCTTCTTCCATTATTTATTTTAGCCAACAAGAAACCTTTTGTCACAAAAGTATCCTTTAATAAAATAGTACATCGGAATGATTTGTGAAACCGTACGGGAATTAAACCACAAAAATTAGCAAAGTGATATTTATTTGATACCATCCCAATCAAAATGGTAGTATACCTATTGGATATTGTTGTTACATCAGTATTAAAATAAGATAACATATTCGAATACTCATATACAGATATAATAATACAATCAAAATCGACAAAGTCGAGCAATATCTATGGATAGGCAGTTAAACAATATTGTATCAACCAATACAGACTTATCCTATATATATATATATATATATATATATATATATATATAGTGCCTTCTACGGGGTACCGTATACAATGAGTATGAAAACTCTATCTAGACCTCGAATTAACAGGAATTTTCGACGTGATACTATACCCTAACTCTTAATGAGCGAACCTTAGGTCCTAGTTATCTAAATCATAAATATAAACCCTAAGATGGTGCATTCATTTTTTTGCCTATATTTGGGCGAATCATAACCGTCGATTATTGTTTTCAATTAAATTGATCTTGGGGTATATGATTTATAGAATTAAGACATAGATTGTGATCTTTAAGGGTTAGAGTATAGTATCATGTCCGAAAATTCAATCAATTTAAGGTCTAGATAACGTTTTCATACTCGAGGTATGTGGTACCCTAGATTTCATGCTGTCGATATTGATTTGGCCAACGATAAATAATTTTTGTAATTCCACTGTCGATACTAACAAAGTCCATATTACTTGTGAATTTACTTAATATTCATAAGAGCTAATTTCTTACATCCATCAAGAGTTTCTTGCCATTTAAAAACACGAAATATGTGGGGTCGTTCAATTAACACAAACAACACAAAGAAAGAAGCAATGTTTGTAAGACCATACCGTACCGAACTTCATAGCGAAAAAACTACTTATTAGATCTCAAGCAAATAGGTCGTTAGTAAGCGATTTTACCAATATAAATCGATTGAGCCATAATTAAATCATAATTTCAATACAAAATATCCTATTATCCAACTTTTCTAGTACGATGTCCGATTCGATTTTACCAGGAGCAAAGGAAAGATGGGAAGGGCTCTTAATCTGGGGGGTATGAAATGAAATCAGAGGACTGAGAGCCAAAAAGGCCTATTTAAGGAGTAGACCTCCTGCAAAACCATAATTGTAAACATCTCAAACTCAAACCATCCCCCAAAAGAAAAGAAGAAGAAGAAAAAAAAAAAGCATATAAGGAGCTGCTGCCACCCAGCTTCCCTCTTCCCCTGCCTTAAACCTCTGCTCTTCTTCCCCTTTCCTTCCCCTGCCTTGCCAAGTAAAGAATCCTTCCTTCCCCTTCTTAATAATAGTTTCTTCTGTTCCTAACCAACAAGAAGCTCCCCTCCCACTTTCTGCCTTCTTCCTTATTTAAACTCTTCCTTCCCTTCCCTTCAAATCAAAATCCTTCCTTTTGCTTCTGCTTGCCATAAATACATACAGAACTCTATAAAGCTAGCTCCTTTAAGCCCTTATTGTGTGTTGTTCACCTTTCCTGTTAACCCCCTTTTTCCCTTTTTTCCCCTCACCTTCAAAGATCTTTGCCCAGCTTTCCCTGTTTGCTGCACAAGTTCTCTAGCTCATTTGTGGGTGACTTTTCTTTTGAGAAGCTATTCGAAGTTTGAGAGCTTGCATTGGACAAAAGAGAGAATCAAAAGATGGGTATTTCAGGAACTTTGGAGTATTTGTCAGACTTGATGGCAAGTTCAGGCCATAAACACAAGAAGAGGAAGCAAATGCAGACTGTAGAGCTCAAGGTCAGGATGGATTGTGATGGGTGTGAGCTCAAGGTCAAGAATGCCCTTTCCTCATTAAGTGGTAATAAACATCTTCTTCTTCTTTCTTTAAGATACTCATTAACTCATAGTTCTGCAACTTCCAAGTGTCTGATAAAAAATTTTTGTGGGTTCTTTCTTTGTTACAGGAGTGAAGAGCGTGGAGATAAACAGGAAGCAGCAGAAGGTGACAGTAACTGGTTTTGCAGAGCCACAGAAGGTGCTGAAGAAGGCCAAATCGACAGGGAAAAGGGCAGAGATATGGCCCTATGTGCCCTACAACTTAGTGGCACAGCCATACGTTGCTGGTACTTATGACAAGAAAGCCCCTCCTGGTTATGTGAGGAAGGTCGATCAGCCTGCTGCAACTTCAACCGTCACCAGATATGAAGACCCTTACACCTCCATGTTCAGTGATGACAACCCAAATGCTTGCTCCATCATGTAACAACAGTCAACTGATACTACTACTACTACTGATGATCTCTACCTTTTGTGAATTCTGGTTCCAACCAAGTTGTAGCTTTTGTAGTACTAGAGAGAGAGAGAGAGAGAGAGAGAGAGAGAGGCTTAAGTTTTTTCTTTTGGTTTGTTCTTGTTCAGTGTGTGGTTTTGGTAGTACTGTGATGGAGACATTTTGATTTTAATGTTCCTATGTGAGTCCTTACTATTATATAACAAGAGGGTACATTTTTTTCTCTTTTCCTTCTGCAAATTGTATGGTGTCATGACTTCATATTTTTTCCTGGGGGATTCTCTGTTTATGAATGATTGTGGAATCGTATTATACGTACTGGAAAAGTCAGCAGTAGAGTATTTTATACTAAACTCGTGGTTCAACCGTTTCCGATTTCTAAAACCGTCTATCTATTTAGTTTCGGTATTCGATATTTCTGGTCTGCCCGGCTTATTATATAATAGGGTTTCTTAAATATGACTGTTAGGAGGAGCTAGCATTGGATGGGGAAAAGGAGGAAGAACAAAAGGGAAACAGTGGTTTGTTTCTTTGGGATGTTGGAAATGAAAACATGAACAGAAGAAAAGAAAACTGACATCACCAGAGGGGAAATGGTTCTGTTTCACAGTTTCAGTGTGGGTTTCTGTTCTGAGGGAGAAAAGGGGAAACATGGCCAATATAAGAAAGCAATGAGCAAATGATACAAACCAAGAGATTTTGTGAAGATCCCAAGTGAGGGAATATATAATAATACAATTGAATGGGTCAAATCATAATATATGTTGTTTTTGTTGCCTATGTGCTTTAGGTTGGAGGAGGAGCCTTTGCCATGTTGAGAAAAGAGGTCATTTTGTGCTTCTTTTATTATAGGCCAGCAGCATTTTGTTGAGTTGTGAATGAAATGATGCATGATATGACAATGTCCTGCATAGCAATACATTTCCATGACTGTTGTTTTTCATCACTAAATTGAACACATATGTATTCAGCGTCACATTGTATGTATATATATGTGTCGACGAAATACTCTTTTAGATTAACAACTAGACTTGGTGATAAAAAAATCCTCTTGCTCTTCTATTTTATACTCGACTCTATTTGAATTAACTTGTCACGACCAGTTTTTACCATAAAAGCTAAGAACAATCTGGGGAAAAAAGGGTTACATTTTGGCGCTTTAATTTTGAAATCACAAGATTCCAAATCTTGATCCCAATAATAAAGGGGAAATGGCCAAGGGGCAAAATAAATTCCTTTCTACCATGGGAAACAAAAACAAAAGGCACCATGTCACCAACACTTCTCTTTTCTTTCCTTACCCTCTCCACTCACCCCAACCAAAGAAGATGGGCCAATTCCAGAAATGCACACTAAACTTTGGTGCCACTAACAAATTGATCATCAAAGTTGTAGTTCTAACGAAGTAATAAGTATAAGTGAAATTTGGGATATCTGACGAGACAGTTGTACATCCTCTTCAACAACTTACGTCCAGTTAGTCTGGATCATCACATTAACTAGCTTGATTCAATAAATAAAAAAAAGTTACTTATCGAATCGTGAAATTGCTATTTTGTAACGTGTTGAGATTGGACCGAGCAACAACTCTGATTCATATGGGGATATGAGTTCAGAAACAGATTTTCAATAGAACGAATCAGCATGATATCCAATTTTTTTTTTATAATTAACTTACTCGATCGAGTTGAACCACGACACCAATATGAACAAATTGGATAGGAAACCCCAAACTAATCGGGAACTGGCTGACTATTCGTGCTAGTACCCCCAAAGTTTAGTGACCATATCTATAATTAACCACCAAACCAAACTCCATAAGGCGAATCTTTCTTTTCCCTTTTCAAACTTTCCTTTTCCCCACCTCACGCTCTATACCTTCACAGCCCCCTTTGTGTGATCAAAAGGGAAGCGTAAAGGCAAATGCATCACTGCTCCTGTAATCTAAAGATTCATACGCAGTAATCAACATCTCTGCATTTTCCCACTTTTGATTTCTTCTCATTTTGATCTTTCTGAAGGTGAAGCGCTTCTTCTTCACAATAGAAAAAGGAATAACTGAACCTGACCACTCAACGAAAAGAACGAAGCAAAAACCACATTGGAAATGTGAAGTGCTGAATTTCAAAGATACAAACAAGCTGGCTGTGTACATATTATTGCATGGGATTTAGAGAGCCGTGATTCGATATTGGTAATAAAAGGCAGGGCAGGCACCAATATAAGTTGAAAGGTGGCGATTTTCTGGTTTTGGTGTGTGTGTCACCTTCCTAGTTTCTGGTATCAATTAGGTCACAAACGCATAGCTTGATGTGCATTGTTTCTAAGTAAAATGAAAGTTATGCTTTTGCTCTCTTTTCTTTCTTTCTCTTCCCCTACCAAACCATTCGAACTCAGGACCTAACGATTGCGCATATTATATGCAACCAATCAGGTTGAGAGATGTAAGGTCTAGAAGGTAAAGTTTAATCATTCTTTAATGAAGTTTAATCATTTCCCTCGTATCCAGTTGAAGATTTAGTTGTTCCAAGGCTCAGCCGCATGTGAGCATGGTTCAATCTGATCATAAGTTAAACCGAACCGATAATGGATTGAATTTGGAAAAAAGAGGATCACAAAAGAATCGGAAGAAATTCTGGTCCAATCCAATTACGGTTTGATCCTAACTTTCCTTTTTTTTGAAGAGAACTCATATAAATGAAAAGAAACAAAATGATTTTTCGATTCTCATCCACATATCTATTCGCTACGACTTGTTTCGATATGGATCAAATTGCTACTCATACCTATGTTTTTGTCTCATCCCAAATTAAACATAATCTTGTATAGGTATATAACATATTTTCTCTATAGTCTATAGTATATAGAGCATTTAGCTTCTAAAATAAAATTTGTGCATTCAAACTTTAATTACCAGGCTATTTAGAAATGATCGAGTGATCGTGAAGCTGAATTTTAATGCATAAATTTTGGTATCAAGGTTAGGTAACACACAACCTCTCTCTCCTCCCATGTTGAGGTACCCATTTGAAAAAAAAAACTTGAAGTATGTGAGGGATTCAAGCATTTGAGTGATGGGCTAAAAACTAACAAAATTTTATGATAGGAATGTTAAATACTCCATCCTAATTTCAACATAAATTAGGAGAACAAAGAAGAAAAAAAATATGATAGAACCCTACAAAACATAGCCGTTTAGCTAAAGAATGTGATATGTTCCATGTCTTCTTCATGGTCTTCCACCTTCAAACCTAAAATAGCTGCTCTCATTTTTCAAGCACAATGATTAAGAGATTCCATGAAAGATTATAAGAGCCATATTAAATCATGTGGACTAGATTATTTCTAATCCCTTTGCCGGCCTGATGGTCTCCTAACCCACGATTAAGCATTTGCCCCATAAATATAGTCTTCTTCTTCATATTCCTTTTTACAGCTTCAATGCATGCATTGCATTTGCATACCTTACCTACCTACCATCCAGCTAGCTGTATCTGTCTTACACGTAAAAAATATTGACTTCAGTATGTTCTCACCAGAATACTTATTGTAGAAATGTTCCATCCCCTCCCATTCCTTTCCTTTCATGCCTTCTAGATGCTAATATGCAGATTGCTATGGCTACAACAAACTGTCATCGAATTCGACACGAAAGCAAGTGCAAACAAGTATGTGCAGTTGTGGTGTATTCAATGTGCAAATTCTAGATGAATGTGAATCAAGGGAAGAAAGCACCAACTGCAATGATGATTTACACTGGAGACTCATCTGTGTTTTGTTTTTTGGCTTGTGTTCTCTTCTGATATGCCGTGGTTGTCGTATTTTAGGGATTGGTTAACTTTTGAGTAAATCTCGACGAATTTGATGTCGTAGATGGAGAGTTGCATTGCCAAGGATGTTGCAGTCTCCTACATCAACGAACAAGATAGTCAAAATGGTTGTTAGTAAAGAACGCAGGACATGTTTCGTAGTTGTCATTTTTATCCTACTGAGCAAATGACAGTGCATTTTGTAGACACCCCATTTTGTCCGTGCTAAAATATCTTGAATTTTGAAGAATTTAAGTCATTTAATACAGGCAATTGCTAATCTTGGATGAACTACTAAAATATTGTCAAAATAATTAGCATAAGGATATAAGAACATGTAATTTGGATCTTTGGAATTAGCAATAGCAAGTCTTAAGATTCCAATTTAAATAGAGGTTATTACAACTGAAATCTCATCTCCTTTGATTCTAGACCGATTGTTGGGATAAAATTCGTAAGGCAATTGCCTTATTTCGTTATCTTCGTGGTTCGAGATTACTTTGATTGTTTCGTGGTCTTTGGACGTTGGGCTTTCGCGTTTGGAGTATCAAGTTTGGAGTATCGCTTTACAAAGGACAAACTAAATATGAAATAGTATTATCTTATTAATAAATAAATCACATTCATGGTAAACATACATAGCCATTACAACAATTGCAATTAACATACAATATTGCATAATCACAAACGTCATAAGGATTACATCATAACTAATTGCAATAATAGAAAGATAAAGAGAAACTAACAGAGGCCAATGTTTTGAAAACTTTTCTTTCGTTTGAAACTTTAGGGTGCAATCAGATTTTGAGAACCGTCCTCTCTGGATTTGGTTTTCTCAGGTCATCATTTTGGGCCCTAAAAGTTTAGAAAATAGGCATACAAAAAAATAATAAAAATAAATAAATAAAGTTAATTAAAAGTCTAATATGGGTCAGGCCCGTATCAAAGTCCAACCCAAACCCAATCAGGCCCATCAGATTGGTCAAGGGCCGGTCATCAGATCGACCCGATCAGGTCTGTATCCAACCCGGACCGGTTCGTCCATTTGACTCGAACCCTGGTTCGACCATGAACCAAGTTGGTTACTGTAGCCAGAGTTCTCCACCAATGAGAATCAAGTAGGGAGGGGGTCTAAACCTAGGGCCAATCAGATTGCAACAAACTCCCCCTAGGATACAGTAAATAGTCAATATAAATACAAGAGCCTGGGCAACAGATGAGGGAGGAGATTTCCAGTCCACATATTCCCATCCTTATCCCAAAGGCAGTAGAGAAAAGCACCAAAACAACCATTCATCTCCACCCAAACTTCATCCAAGAATTTACAGAGCTCGAGTGAAAAACCCAGCAATCATGTAAGAAAAAGTAAAAAGCAACTTCTACCTTCCTTTTCCCCTTTTCTGTTTCTGTTCTCATACAAGATTCCAAGGAAAGTGAAGTAGTAGAAAGCGACCGGAGCAAGGAAAGCCCAGAACAAGGAGAGGCCAAAAGGGGAAGCAAACAACCAACAAAGAAGGCCACCACCATCCCCAAAGTACAATCACAGACCAAGGCATGTCACTTTCCCCTTAAAATAACCATCATCATCATCACCCCATACCATTTACGTCTAAAAAAGGAAAAGTTTACTTCTTTGGGAAACCTTTAAACTTAATATGCTTCTTTAATCACCAACATAACAACAAAAAGGATCTATAATTCTGTTTCTGTTGCTATTGTTACTTTATCTCTCTTTACTTCTAGTATTTTATTTGCCTAACTGATCTCGATAAGCTTATTCTAATACTAATGATTATAATCAATTCCTCAACAAAACATATCTGTATTTGTCCTTTTATATGCTTCAATATCATGTTAAAAGAAACTATTCTAAAAAAGGGAAACTCAGATTGGTTTTCTTCGATAAAATAGTCCAACAAACCCCTGGAATAACAAAGACTACAATCAATTGGTATAAGATAGGGAGGTTACTTTGTAGTACCTCAGTTATTTTAAGGGCTCCCCTCTAATATAGACTCTAAATTTGTTTTCATGTTGAAATGATAATTAAACCATCTCAAAACAGGTCAAAATTACAATCAAACATTTTACCCATAACTCAACACATAACTCAACATACGTATTAATGATCAGTTTAGCAAAAGCAATAGCTTTTGCCAAACTCAGTTTAGTTCTCAAAATATTTTCAATAGCATAAAATCTGTCTTTTTTTTTAGCTAAATCATTTGATCAGCTAAGATTATGGAGAGATTTCGCCTGAGTTTTTTTTGTACACTGAACCTGCAAAAACGAGAAGAACTAGGTTCAGAATCATTCAAAAGCCAGTTTTTCAAAAAAAAAAAAAGCAAAAATTGCAGCAGAACCCACCTTGCCGTCGTCGGCCTGTCGCGGTTCGCCGACGTGGCATGCCGCCAAACCTCCCTTTCCCTCCATAAAAAAAAAACAGAAGAGTATTAGATCTCTGAAAAACCCTAAAAAACATATCTATAACATGCAAAACCAAAAATGGTTGAGATCCACTTACCAAGTTAGTCCGCAAACCAAAATCGGAGAAGTAACCTCCCCCCTCTTTGGCTCTTGTCACTGTCGTTTCCCTTTCCCTCCCTTCGTGAAAGAAAGAAATCGGAGAGGAAAAGGTCAGAACCGGAACTAAAACTTGAACACAAACCATAACCCAGAATCTGAGGTGAAATCCAACCAAAATCGAGAAAACTCCTAAGGAAATCACCATGCAAGCCGAAAAAAGACCTTACCTTCATCCCCATCATCATCAACCGTCGACGGCCCTCCTTGGTCGCCGTCGCTTGAATCTCTTTTCCTTTTCCTCATCACCACCAGTACTTAAGAGAAAGAGGGAGGCGATGGGGATTCATTTTTTCATTTGGGTTTTTTGTTCGATTTGAGAGACTGTAAGTCGGTTTTGAGAGGGGAAAAAAGAAGGTTGGAGGCGATCGAAAGAGCTAGAGTTTTGCTCATCTTTTTTTTTTTTTTTGCTAGTTCGTGTTTCTGGGGAAGAAGAAGAGGTGAGCAAGCGAGAGAAAACGAGGGGAGAGAGTGAAGTGAGAGGTGGCCGATCGATTAGATTGGTTTAGGCTTGAAGTCCACTAATCGAAACACGGCGTTTTCACATCCACACAGGCAGACTGGAAAGGCACACGGCCGTGTGGTCGGGAAATTCTGGGTTTTAACCCAATTTCGAGCCAAAGGAGAGTGAATCGATTTTCTGGAGCAAAAACAGAGCCCTAGAGAGAGAAAGTGCGAAGAACACCCCCTTAGAGTGGTTTTGGAGCTGGGTTTCATCAATCAAGCTTGGAAATCATCCTTGGAGTGAAGATCATCATCCCAAAGCAGATTCTTCCCATCTTGATGAGTATGACTACTTTGTTTGCTGTTTTCCACTCTCTCTCTCTCTCTCTCTCTCTCTCTATGGAATATAACCCTCTCTCACTTAGGTATGAAGAACCCTAGTTCTATGTGTTGGGGATCATTGTTGTAACGACATTTGGATTGTGATATTGTTGGATTATAATCGATTGAAGTGTGCTGATTGAGTCAATTGAAGCCTGACCATCTTTTATTGATTTCTGCTGCAACCTGAGATAGATAGAATCTGATTAGGTTGTTAGAGCTTCTTCAATCGGTAGTAGTGAATCGATTATACGAGAGTTAGTCGATTCACTGCTTTGTACTGGAACTCAGTTCCAGTAGTGGAGTTTTGTGTTCATAGCCTCAGCTTTCTATCCCGGTGAAGAATAGTCGTCTGCCGGGTAGTTTGACTGAGAGGGCTTGGTCAGCTTAAGAGATTCCAAGCTACTGTCGGATCTTCCACAGTATAATCAACAGTCAAGCAACCAAAATTAATTACAACTGTGACCTAACTAATGAGCTAGGGGGACTCATTTCCGAGTGACTCTTCCCTTGCTTTAGAAAACCGAATCATTTCCTGCTTTCTTACTGCTTTTACTTAAATCAACAACCACTCGACTTAGTTTGCTAGATAATAGATAATCACGGAGTAGGCAGTAGATCTAGACCCGGGTTGACAAATAGAGCTTGCCACTTTACTGCATTTCCGGACTGCTATTACACTTGGTCGCAGTTTGGTGTTGTGTCGTAGCGTGTCAAGTTTTTGGCGCCGTTGTCGGGGAACCTCTAGGTTATTGTGGAAACGTAAAAGTTTGTTACTCTAGCTTGTTCTTACTGCATTCTCTCTCTTCCACCTTTGTGCCTTCACGGGCTGTGCTTGCATTCTGTGTGCAGGTAGTGCATGACCCGTAGCAAGTCGGGGGATTTACTACCGTTAGATCAAGAGGTTGAACGGACTTGTAGGAACTTCAAGCGGCCGTTGAAGGCGTGACTGGCTACGGAGGAAGCTCTAGCACAGGTGGAAATCGCCGAGGAGGAAGAGATGGGTGACCCACAGGACCATGATGTGGTCCTTCCCGAGGAGCAGACCATGGGGTATTACTGGACCGCCAGAGCCGCGGACATGAGGTCGCCCATTCAACACCCTCATGTTCCAGCGAATAACTTTGAGGTGAGCACCTCTGTTATCACCATGCTGCGCGGTTCAGTGGTATTCTGTGGTAAGGAGCGGGAGTGCCCTCGATCACACCTGAGGTGATTCCACGAGCTCATCGATGGGATCAAGATCAATGGGGTTCCAGCCGATGCAATCCAGCTAAGGTACTTTCTATTTACTCTGGAGGGGGCAGGCCAAGGAGTGGCTAGACACTTGACCTCTAAGCTCGATCACCACGTTCGCCAACCTGGCGAACAAGTTCCTCACTCGCTACCATCCCCCGTCCAAGACGGAGGACCTGCAGAATCAAATTACCTACTTTGCTCAAGATGAAGATGAGACCATTCGGGACGCTTGGGAGAGATACACCAGTCCCTTCCTCAAGTGTCCCAACCATGGTTTTACCGACGCCTTCAAGGTGGGCACCTCATACCATGCCCTCTTCCCGGAAGACAAGCAGCTGATTGACTCGGTTTGTGGCGGGAATATGCTCACCAAGACACCGCCACAGCTGAATAAACTTTTTGAAGAGATGGCAGAGCAGGGCTATGATTGGGGAACTGCGAGGAGATCGAGACGAGCACCAGGGCGGGGTGTGCATGCTGTAGCCACCCCGTCATCTGATTTGGTGCAGGTGGTATCGAAACTAGTGTCAGCCATCGATCGCTCTGGAATGATTTCAGGGACTGGACAGCAGCAGGCGATGCATTGCCAGTGGTGCGAGAGCACCCATCACACTGTGGAAGACTGCAGTCGATGAGGGAGTCGACTACACCCCAGGAGCAGGTGAACTTCATCAACAATGCTAGGCGCAATGACCTCTATAGTAACACTTACAACGAGGGGTGGCGCCAGCATCCCAACTTCTCCTGGGCTGGGGCCAATCCTAGACCACCAGTCTCCCAAGGACCGCCAGGCTTCCAGAGGCTGCCATATCAGCCTAGGCAGGGGTAATTCCAGCAATATCAACAGTCTCTCTATCAGCCCATGCAGGGGCATGCTGCTCAACCACAACCGCGACCCTTCCGGTAGCCAGGTGCAGCCCCTGCAACCCCAGCGCAGAATGATCTGATAGCTGAACTACGGGACTTGGTGGGTTCTCTTGCCAGTTCCAGTGCTCATAATTCAACACTATCGAGCAGTTCATGGAAAAGGCCTCGGGTAAATTCCTGGCTCTTGAAGCTAGCCAGAGGAACACACAGGCTGTCTTGCAGGATATCCCAACCCAGCTGGGGAGTGTGGCTCAAGCAGTGGCGCAGAGGGCTCCAGGTACCTTGGCGAGTCATACCATTCCTAATCCGAAGGACCTGAATGCCCACTGTAATGCCATCAGAACAAGGAGTGGCAAAGTGACTACAGACCCACCTGTCCTGACCAGACAAGCGGGAGGGAGACCTGCCTCGGCGTTTCCAGCTTTTGAAGAAGAAGCGGAGAAGGAGGTTGAGGTGTCTGCTCCTAAGCCACAACCAGTAGTGAAAGAGTATGTCCCTCAACTCCCCTTCCCTACTCGGTTGCAATCGGAAACGGTTGAACCACGAGTTTAGTATATGTTGAGCTTACCTTGTATCTGACTTGGTTTTCTTGGGGACAAGCAAACGGTGAAGTGTGGGGGAATTTGATGACTTGATATATACACATGTTTTTATCCACCATTCTTATGTCGTTTGAGCCTCATTTCTCGTATCTTAGGACGATTTCACGCTAGGTTGTTATCGTTTGTGTTATTTCAGGTCCTAGTACGTGATTGGAGGTTTGGAAGTGAGTTTCGGGTCGATTGGTCAAAATTTGGACGTCTGGCGAGGAGCTGAGGAAGCCACACGGCAAGACCCAACAGCCACACGGCCGTGTGGTGTTGCCGTGTGGAATCCCATGACGCGGCCAAGCCACACTGGCGTGTATTGGACCCCTTGTGGCCGTGTGGAAAGTCTAGAGAGCTCACACGGTCAGACTGGAATCCACACGGCCGTGTGCCTCTGGCCGTGCAGCGTGCCTGAAGTCCACTAATCGAAACGCGACGTTTTCACATCCACACGGGCAGACTGGAAAGCCACACGGCCGTGTGGTCGGGAAATCCTAGGTTTTAACCCAATTTCGAGCCAAATGAGAGGGAATCGATTTTCTGGAGCAAAAACAGAGCCCTAGAGAGAGAAAGTGCGAAGAAAATCCCCCTAAGAGTGGATTTGGAGCTGGGTTTCATCAATCAAGCTTGGAAATCATCCTTGGAGTAAAGATCATCATCCGAGAGCAGATTCTTCCCATCTTGATGAGTATGACTGCTTTATTTGCTGTTTTCCTCTCTCTCTCTATGGAGGAGAACCCTCTCTCACTTGGGTATGAAGAACCCTAATTCTATGTGTTAGGAATCATTGTTGTAACGACGTTTGGATTGTGATATTGTTGGATTATAATCGATTGAAGTGTGTTGATTGAATCAATTGAAGCCTGATCATCTTTTATTGATTTCTGCTGCAACCTTAGATAGATAGAATCTGATTAGGTTGTTAGAGCTTCTTCAATCGGTAGTAGTGAATCGATTATAGGAGAGGTAGTCGATTCACTAGTTTGTACGGGAACTCAGTTCCAGTAGTGGAGTTCTGTGTTCATAGCCTCAGCTTTCTGTCCCGGTGAAGAATAGTCGTCTGCTGGGTAGTTTGACTGAGAGGGCTTGGTCAGCTTAAGAGATTCCAAACTACTGTTGGATCTTCTGCAGTATAATCAACAGTGAAGTAACCAAAATTAATTACAATTGCGACTTAACTAAGGAGCTAGGGGGACTCATTTCCGAGTGACTCTTCCCTTGCTTTAGAAAACCGAATCATTTCCTGCTTTCTTACTGCTTTTACTTAAATCAACAACCACTCGACTTAGTTTGCTAGATAATAGATAATCACGAAGTAGGCAGTAGATCTAGACCCCAGGTTGACAAATAGAACTTGCCACTTTACTGCATTTCCGAACTGCGATTACACTTGGTCGTAGTTTGGTGTTGTGTCGTGGCGTGTCATCTTGCCACTGCATTTTTTGCCATTTACCAAAATACCCTCGTTTTTATTTCTGCTAAAAACGAAACTGGCTTAAAACCCCCTAGGTTTCAAACCAGAGACCTCTGTCTTGTTAATCTCCCAATCAAGTGTTTAACCAATAGACTAATTGCTCTTTACATGTAGACATACTAATTATCAATGAATTTTAAATGTTAAACTTTAGATATGCAAACCCAAATCAAACAAAACAAGTTGTCTTATTTTTGTAAATTATCTCAAACATTATTTAAAGAAAACTATAAAAAATATCTCCATTATCAAAGTGTCTAATCTTCTTTAAAGATGCTTGCTCGCTCTTTCTTATTTCGTTTACAGATGGGTAAGCACCAAGGTTGTCAACCCGCGGGTTGACCCGGACCCGGTTGAGCTAGTGGGTCAAGGGTTAATGGGTCACCCGTTTTAGCCCGGTTTAGCCCGGAAACATGGAAAGCGTCATTATATTGTACTTATCCTGATAAATTATATCAAATCTCATCTAACATATGAGTTATAACATATAATATTACACCAAAATAACATTTCGTACTTAGATTCAACATATAGTGAAAATTCACACACACTTATATAACATTAATATTCAAATGTTCAACTTAGGATTCCAAAGATTGAGTTAGGCGAAAAGAAAAATCGGAAAATAGGCGCATTTCGCAAAACAAAGAAAAAAATGACATAATTTGACCTCCAACCCGGTACCTTATAGCGGTCGACCCGGCGGCTGCGTGCGGCCCGTTTTTCTCACCGGGTCAGGGTCAAAGTGGGTCAACCCGCGGGTCGACCCGCGGGTTGACAACCTTGGTAAGCACGGTACGCTATGGTCAATAGACTATGGTTAGTTTTCTCGTATTAAATCCCTTTCCAAATCATTACTTCCAAATCAAAACTTCAAAAGATTAAAACAAACATAAGAAATTCTAAAAGAACATAAAGTTTATTGATCGAACTACATGGACTTTGATCTGGTTAACTCGGGTACGTAGGAAACCGATAGGTTCGAGCCTAACCAACATAAAAAACCCTTTTTACGTCAATAGATTTGAAAATTGGTAACTTTAAATTCAAATTTACACTAATCACATCGTCCTATGGGACTCTAAAAATTTACATTTAATTTAAAAACAGTTAAAAACTACAATTAAATACACAAAAAAATCACAATTAACATTACTGATTACACCCAACCTCTAAAAAACTTATCGATTTACGTAGTACCCGTTATGGAGCGTTGTGGGCTGTGAATACACTTCCCCACACGTAACCGTACTCCCGAACCTAGAACAATCTAAAACTCGCAGACCAGAATTCTGGTTTTAACAAAAAAAATTAAAGCCGGAAAAGGGTGTTCGGCCCACCCCAAAGCATGGTCGATGGCGACTCGACAAAAGATTTGCGAGCCTTCCCCGATTTTCCGAGGGCGGTTGCGACAGTGGCAACTCCGCTGGGGAATCTTATGAGAGTTAAACTACATTAATCGTCGATAAGCTTTTCTTGCTTCTTACAATGGGTGTTATGTGTTTATTACATCAATTTGCGCTTTAAATTTGTGATGTATTTCAATATATATATATATATATATTTTTTGCATCCATGCATAAAGCTCTATTCCCGAGTTGTCCTTATAGCAAAAAAGGAAGAAAGTAGTGTGACTCCTACAATAGTAGGGGAAATGCGAAAACTTCCTAAGCATGTTGAACTCAAATCCGAGGATGATTTGGGGTATCTTGCTAAAACTCGAAAGGGTTATAGTGTGGTAGAACTTGGGAGCCTGATTCCTTAAGGTCCCTGGTCTAGCAAATAGTTTGCCTAGAAACTACCTAAGCCGCACTTAATCCCAGAGCCTACCCAAAAACACGACGTTATGCTGCCGAAAAATCCCTAGGGTTGCCTAACTAGGTTGTTTTATTATTAATACAAATGTAAATGTTACGTATTTATTGCTCGTTTCTTTCCTAAATGCTAAATGTTTATTGCTCATTTCTTTCCTGTTCGTTATTTGAGAAGTGTGTTGTAACATGAGTCTGTTTCTTTCTCATCATAAGTAAAAAACAATTTTCTCGAAACAATTAAAGAAATTTACAATGATCATAACACGCATAGATCACCATCATCATGCATTCTCACGTTATGATTGTCGCACACAATTAACTTGAAATCTATTATGATCAAATGGCGAGAAACCTAGCCGAACACAACATAGCTATCATCCCCAACTTCATGCCCGGACCTGCATGGGCAGATCCAATGATCGACAATATGAGAAGGCTGTCGGTGGAGATCGCACTAGACATCATGTCAAGAACTCTTCAAGGGTATTCTGAGTCCTTTGTTGAAAGATAAAAAAGGGAATTAATCAACACCCATGCTCCAGTGGAACACCTCGACTGGTATCCAGAGCTCATGTGTTTGAATTTGTTCTATATACCGTTAAATGAGTATCAAGAAATGTCAAAAGAAATTTATTGTATGCTGAGGCATATGGTGCATTTGAATTCCATAGGGTTTATCCTTCATAAACCCACACTAAGACAATGTCTTCAACAATGGATTCTCTTTCCAAACAACATCAATCTCTTTGGAAGATGGCTCCTCGAACATGCCCAGATTGCCGGATGGCTTGGGCTCGTGATGGATCCAAAGACTCTAAACTATATGGCCATTACGCTTCACATGAACAGAGAAATTCGGGTGGTCGAAGAGGGGTTTGAACTGGTGGAGACCCAATGGGTCGTACTGGAAGGGAGCTCGAATGAGAATCCGACAATCGAGCCATCTAGGGTGACCGGATACTAGATGATTCTGAAAGAAAAACTCTGTGATCTGAATCAAGGAGTGTTACTTACCAACACTCGCCATGACAAACAACTTAATAGAACAAAATAATTATGGTCTGAGGCGAGTGGCAACAACTCATGCCTATTTAATCGAACAAGCTTTCGTTGAGGAAGTGCTCCTCCCGGAGCCAGCGCTCCCACATCTGTGAGAAGAGAAGTCGTTGGGAGGTCAACCTGTGGAAGAAAGGTCGACACTTTAGGCAATTTTTTTGCCACAAGGCCCCTTCGTAGAAAGAAGTGTGCGGTCTTGATGGCTTTTCCATTTATTATAGTAATGGGGAAGATGTCTGAGATAGAGTGGCTAGTGATGCCACCTTTGTATATATTCTGTAAATAACGGAAGTTTGTCCCAGTTGATTGAATAAAAAGTGTGATTTTTGTATCTGATGTCTATATGATTGATTCAATTTTAACTGTGCGCAACAATCATAACATTGCATACATGCATTTGTTAAAAAGATAATATTGGCACTAACGGGTAATCTCATGATTAGATTTTGTCACCAGAAAAAATTTCTGCTTTGGAACTTCGTTATTACAAGATGGCATATCTGTTTGTTCAAGGAGAAAAGAGTGTGATGGATCAATCAATTGAGGATCAAAAAAAGGAAGGAGACAGGTTAATGCAAAGAATTGAATTTCGACCCATGGGATCAGTGGAGATTATTGATAACCCAATTGACATACTAAAGCAAGCATGGCAACAATTCACACAACGAGAAAAATAGGCATTTGAATAGTGATATGGGCAAATGGCTGATCTTCTCGATGTACCGTTCCCCGCCAACATGATCCGGGAAATCCTAAATTATTGGGACCCATTCTACAGTTGCTTCTCAATAAATGAATTGGACTTTTCCCCGCTGCTAGAAGAATATCAATCAATCCTGCAAATAAATATAAGCCAGCCATACAAGATATATGTGAACCGGCCAGATCAAAATACAAAGAAGGCACTGTCAAGGATATTGGGGATAGACAAAGAACGAGCTCAAGACATGACAGAGTCAAGCGGTGGGCCAGAACGAGTTCATATGAATCAACTCATGTCATACCTAAACCAAACAGCGAAAGTCGGATACCACATGGAGGCGTTTGCTCTGCTCATATATGGGTTCATACTCTATCCCAGCCTGCCCAACTATGTCGACAGTTTCGCCATCAAGGTGCTCCAACAGGATTTGATTGACGCCAACCCCATCACCTCAATATTATCTGAGACTCTCATCGCCCTTAGTCGATGTCGTCGATCCGAAGGGGGTTACTTATATGGGTGCATATCCCTGCTCGTGGTATGGCTTTTTGGGCATCTCAACCCCTCTCCTAGTCACGGAACCCCAGACGTTCAGTATGCATTGGTGTACGATAGGGCTGCAAATGAGCCAAGCCGCTCGCGAGCAACTCGGCGTTCGAATCGGAAAAAACCCGTTCGACACTCGACTCGTTATTTAACAAGCCGACTCGCGAGCCAACTCGTTAGTTAACGAGCCAAGCCTGAGCTAGACCATGCTCAGCTTGATAAGCTCGCGAGCTAGCTTGATTCGGTGGCTTGTCGAGCTAAGCTCGCGAGCTGCCTTGTTTTGAGCTTGTGGAAGGATGAATTACTCTTTTAAACATGAACATTGTCTTATAATACAGATGTGTATGAAATTTAGATGTTATTTCTAGTTTCTAGTGTTCTTTCTATCATTTAAATTCTTATGTTTATACATTTTTCCAGCAAAAATGATTTTAAATCGAGCTCATCTTGAGCCGAGCTTGTACTCAGCTTAACAAGCTATGTTAATGAGCATTTATCGAGCTCTACCGAGTCGAGCTCGAGCTAGATTATTTTTATTCAAGCCGAGCTCGAGCTCGAGCTGGATTATCAAAATTCGAGTTCGAGCCGAGCTCGAGCTGAAAAATTAATAAACGAGCCGAGCTCAAGCTAAGCAAAAACTCGACTCGACTCGGCTCGTTTGCAGCCCTAGTGTACGATGACAATAGAAGATCAATTCATCGCTCATTGTATTCATCTATTGTATTCATCGCTCATTCTGAAGTCACAGATGAGTGAAGGTATGAGAATCTTCTATTGTATTCATCGATCATTCATTCATCGCTCATTGAATGATCGATGAGCCTTGGTTGCTTCCATAACTTGATAGCATTTTTACTATTTGTTTCCACATCCACATCTGAGTAAGTGAAGTTCAACTCTCCCATCTCGCCGGTCATCGGAGTAAATTGAAGACAACCGACCTACCTCCTAAACATGTTTGGTGCATATGCTACATACCCAGTTGCCCCAGTAATGGTATCCAATGCTTTTTCTCAAATCCATATAGGATATATTCTCCAGTCATCCATGGTGCCTTCCATGACATATTATGTTTCCCGAATGAGGCAAAGAAATTTCTCCATTGACTAGCAGCGACTTGTATGTAAGTTGGCGATGCTCTGGTGAATTCTTGAATTGATCTTCTATAGCCATCGTACACCAATGCATACTGAACGTCTGGGATTCCGTAACTAGGAGAGGGGTTGAGATGCCCAAAAAGCCATACCACGAGCAGGGATGTGCACCCATATAAGTAACCCCCTTCGGATCGACGACATCGACTAAGGGCGATGGGAGTCTCAGATAATATTGAGGTGATGGGGTTGGCGTCAATCAAATCATGTTGGAGCACCTTGATGGCGAAACTGTCGACATAGATGGGCAGACTGGGATAGAGTATGAACCCATATATGAGCAGAGCAAACGCCTCCATGTGGTATCCGACTTTCGCTGTTCGGTTGAGGTATGGCATGAGTTGATTCATATGAACTCGTTCTGGCCCACCGCTTGACTATATCATGTCTTGAGCTCATTCTTTGTCTATCCCCAATATCCTTGACAGTGCCTTCTTTGTATTTGGATCTGGCCGGTTCACATATATCTTGTATGGCTGGCTTATATTTATTTGCAGGATTGATTGATATTCTTCTAGCAGCGGGGAAAAGTCCAATTCATTTATTGAGAAGCAACTGTAGAATGGGTCCCAATAATTTAGGATTTCCCGGATCATGTTGGCGAGGAACGATACATCGAGCAGATCAGCCATTTGCCCATATCACTGCTCAAATGCTTATCTTTCTCGTTGTGTGAATTGTTGCAATGCTTGCTTTAGTATGTGAATTGGGTTATCAATAATCTCCACTGATCCCATGGATCAAAGTTCAATTCTTTGCATTAACCTGTCTCCTTCCTTTTTTTTATCCTCAATTGATTGATCCATCACACTCTTTTCTCTTTGAACAAACAGATATGCCATCTTGTAATAACGAAGTTTCAAAGCAGAAATTTTATCTGGTGACAAAACCTAATCATGAGATTACCCGTTAGTGCCAATATTATCTTTTTAACAAATGCAAATGCATGTATGCAATGTTATGATTGTTGCGCACAGTTAAAATTGAATCAATTATATAGACGTTAGATACAAAAATCACACTTTTTATTCAATCAACTGGGACAAACTTCCGTTATTTACAGAATACATACAAAGGTGGCGTCACTAGCCACTCTATCCCAGGCATCTTCCCCATTACTATAATAAATGGAAAAGGCATCAAAACCGCACACTTCTTTGTACGAAGAGGCCTTGGGACAAAAAATTTCCTAAAGTGTCGACCTTTCTTCTACAGGTTGACCTCCCAACGACTTATCTTCTCACAGATGTGGGAGAGCTGGCTCCGGGAGGAGCACTTCCTCAACGAAAGCTTGTTCGATTAAATAGGCATGAGTTGTTGCCACTCGCCTCAGACCATAATTATTTTGTTCTATTAAGTTGTTTGTCATGGCGAGTGTTGGTAAGTAACACTCCTTGATTCAGATCACAGAGTTTTTCTTTCAGAATCATCCAGTATCCGGTCACCCTAGATGGCTCGATTGTCGGATTCTCATTCGAGCTCCCTTCCAGTACGGCCCATTGGGTCTCCACCAGTTCAAACCCCTCTTCAACCACCCGAATTTCTCTGTTCATGTGAAGTGTAATGGCCATATAGTTTAGAGTCTTTGGATCCATCACGAGCCCAAGCCATCCGGCAATCTGGGCATGTTCGAGGAGCCATCTTCCAAAGAGATTGATGTTGTTTGGAAAGAGAATCCATTGTTGAAGACATTGTCTTAGTGTGGGTTTATGAAGGATAAACCCTATGGAATTCAAATGCACCATATGCCTCAGCATACAATAAATTTCTTTTGACATTTCTTGATACTCATTTAACGGTATATAGAACAAATTCAAACACATGAGCTCTGGATACCAGTCGAGGTGTTCCACTGGAGCATGGGTGTTGATTAATTCCCTTTTTTATCTTTCAATAAAGGACTCAGAATACCCTTGAAGAGTTCTTGACATGATGTCTAGTGCGATCTCCACCGACAGCCTTCTCATATTGTCGATCATTGGATCTGCCCATACAGGTCCGGGCATGAAGTTGGGGATGATAACTATGTTGTGTTCGGCTAGGTTTCTCGCCATTTTATCATAATAGATTTCAAGTTAACTGTGCGCGACAATCATAACATGAGAATGCATGATGATGGTAATGCATGCGTGTTATGATCATTGTGAATTTCTTTAATTGTTTCGAGAAAATTGTTTTTTTACTTATGATGAGAAAGAAACAGACTCATGTTACAGCACACTTCTCAAATAACGAACACGAAAGAAATGAGAAATAAACATTTAGCATTTAGGAAAAAAACGAGCAATAAATACGTAACATTTGTATTAATAATAAAACAACCTAGTCATGCAGCCCTAGGGATTTTTCGGTAGCATAACGTCGTGTTTTTGGGTAGGGGATTAAGTTGCGGCTTAGGTAGTTTCTAGGCAAACTATATGCTGGATAGGGACCTTAAGGAATCAGGCTGCCAAGTTGTACCACACTATAACCTTTTCGAGTTTTAGCATGATACCCCAAATCATCCTCGGATTTTAGTTCAACCTGCTTGGGAAGTTTTCGCATTTCTTCTACTATTGTAGGAGTCACACTACTTTCTTCCTTTTTTGCTATAAGGACAACTCGGGAATAGAGTTTTATGCATGGATGCAAAAGAAAAAAAAAATTGAAATACATCACAAATTTAAAGCGCAAATTGATGTAATAAACACATAACACCCATTATAAGAAAGTAAGAAAAGCTTATCGACGATTAATGTAGTTTGACTCTCATAAGATTCCCCAGCGGAGTCGCCACTGTCGCAACTGCCCCTCCAGGTCAGGGTACCCGTCGCGAACTGATCGGAGTCGCCATCTTTCTGCCATCTTTCTTATTGTGATGGATCGAACACCTTTTGCTCCGGTCTCGACCTTAGGGTCGAAACCGGGACTTAGCCTGCGAAATTTAGAGTTTTGGGTTCGGGAGTATGGTTACGTGTGAGGAAGTGTATTCACACCCCACAACGCCCAAAATCGGTACTACCTAAATCGATAAGTCTTCTTAAGGATTGGGTGTTTTATTATTTGCGCCTTATTCGCGTATTGAGAACACCCAATCCTTAAGAACAAATACGTGAATAAGGCGCAAATAATAAAACACCCAATCCTTAAGAAGGCTTATCGATTTAGGTAGTACCAATTTTGGGCGTTGTGGGGTGTGAATACACTTCCCCACACGTAACCGTACTCCCGAACCCAGAACTCTAAATTTCGCAGATCAAGTCCCGGTCTCGACCCTAAGGTCGAGACCGAACCAAAAGGTGTTCGATCCACCATAAATAAGATAGATGACAACTCCGATCTGTTCACGAGGGTACCCCGATCTGGAGGGGTGGTTGCGACACATTTCTCTGCTTTGGAAATGGTAAGAATCACCTGAGAAGCAGCCTGCAGGTTCTGGTCCATATGATAGCTTTGGAGGAATAAGAAGCCTACGCTTACCACCTGTGTGTGGCGTGTGATAGTACTGCTTTAGGCCATCTCTACAAGCTTTTGCAGACAACAAACATAAGGGTTCAAAACAACATTGTCCAATCTTCCATCTTTCATGATATTGGTTATCATTTACCTATGTGCATCGGAGGTACTCCACCACCCCCGAAAATCCCCTGATCCAGACCCTTAATCACCTGTATACAAACGACAGTCACAATGAACAAACAAAGCACATTTGGATCAATACATCTTGTTGCTAGACCTCACACATTTTAGATTTCAAGCATAGCTTTGCATTCATCTTATACAAGACTAGTTCTTTTAGATCAATGGGCATGAACCACTTAATAAAACTTAAGCATCTTACTTCTAATCGCTGAAATTTCACTAGCCTTAATAACCAGGTAATACAATGACCTGAGAAGCTGTAAGCCATAATGATCTCACCTTACCAACGCCAATCCGCGTGGTCAGCGGTCTAGCACGCTTGTAACTGCTATCGAAGACCGTCCCATCACCAAATCCGCGTGGTCAGCGGTCTATAGGGACCCAAAAACAAAAACCAGCATATAAAGCCATCATCCACGAAAGATACAGGACATCCACCAAGTGTATGAGAAAATGACCCACTGAAAACCCCACCAGCATTACGTCAAAACGACACTCCAAACACAAAAGTCGGGTTTACACATCCAGCTAAAAGAGTAAAACTACGAAAATTTGTTGATTACTCAACTCACATTGATCAACTCGGCATACGGCGCCTCTTCACCGGGACCTTCAGCGACATCACAGTGTAGCCGAGCCCAGACCGGACGAAGCTGAACTCGCACAGAGGCTCTCCCACGGTGGCGTAGTACTCGATGATCCTGGTGGCGTCAGCGTCCATCGGAGACAGAGCGAGAATTGAAGCCGACAATAGCTCGATGCCCACGTCAACTAAGCGATTCTTCCGCTTGGGAACAGAGTTTAAAGAGGGTTTACAATAGGCATTTCTGTCGAATTGCGGTTGCGAAGAGGAGAAGCAAGAACACGAGCAAGTGGGTTTTGAAATGGAGAGAGGGGTTTGAGCGCGGCAGAGCGATTTGGGGCCTGTGATGGCGGAAGCAGTGAGCGCCATTTTTGTTTAATTGAGCTACTGAGACTGAAGCGAGTGAGTGGCTGTGAAAAGTAGTTAATGCCCAGGGGAAGGAAGTTTTGAGGAATTGGAACAGTTGGAACTTGGAAGTGGATAAGAACGTCAGGGTTTTAACATTTTGGTTTGGGCTTCTGCTATCATTCGTAGGCCTAAACCGGTTCCTTCCCTCTTTCTTATTGGGCCTAGGTCAGGCTTGGATCACAAAGATGGGCCCAACTTGTTTGGGGTGAGTGCAGCCTGCAGAGATATTCCCATAGGTCATAAGCAATGGAATGCAAAGTTTACAAGAAACGATGTATTTTGCAACTGATTATGGTTAGAACTTAGAATTCACGGAATATATTATAAAAATGTATGGTTTTTAAGATTCTGATGAATTTTGGAACTTTTGAGTGTGTGGCTGTGTGCAAAAGAGTATTAGGAAATGTGAAGTAATTATGATTGATCCTGATAAACGTGATTCTTAATTATATCAAATTTATAAGAGAAAAAAAATCGTATATGTAAAAAAGTATGTTACAGGAATTAACGAGCGTAAATATAATATTAATACTTTCCGAACATGTAAAGATTCAACGATGTGGAATGACAAACAATCTTAAAACACAAAGATTTGTATGAGTTTTCCGCTAGACGTAAACAAGATTTCTCCATTGAGAATTCATGATACTTATTACTTTTCTATTAAAAAGTTGCAGCTAATACCTGGATTTTAAAACCCTATGGGGTTGTTTGGATTAGTGTTTTTAATTCGAGTGATTTGAGAGGGATTTGGGATGAAATAACTCGTTTTAAAACTCAGGGTTTTAATTTGAGAGATTTGTGTAGAATTTTTGTCAAATCACTCGTTTGGCAAGTAATATGAGATTTCAAACTAAAAATAGAAAATAACAATTTTACCCTTTAAGCTCCTTATTGTACGTGATAAGAGAAAGGACGCAGATCCCTTCCTTCCTCTTCCCGAGTTCGTCTTCTCCGCAGTTCCTCCCCAACCTTTCTGCCGCACAAATTGTCAGCTGACGTCCCTCTGCCGGGCCACAATCATCGCCCGTAGTTCCTCCCCTCACAAAATAAAACTAGAAAGAAATTAATAAACAAAAACAACACAATAGACAACAAGATGCAAACAATATAATGGACAACCAAATCACAATAAATTAGATTCAAGCAACACTTTCTAAGGGTCAATAACACAAGAAGCAGCTTGAAGCATATATAAACCCAGAATCGGAGCAAGGGTCAAAACAAAGACTTACAATGTTGCCGCCACAAACAAATCGGAGCAAGCAGCCACGAGGAAGCCACAAACCCAGAACAACGAGACGAGAAGATTTGGTACCTCTTCTCTACTTTGCGAAACAACCACAATCAAGCTACAATCCCAGAACCCGAAGAGGAGCGAAGGAGGAAGAACGGATAATGAAGGTTCCGCGTACTCACCGGCTGCATGAAGGGTTTGTCGTCGCAGATTCCCTGCGCTGCGAAGCTGAGTCGCCGTCGATCAGCAATCGACGACAGCCGCTTCCCTACGCCGCGACAGAGAGACAGAATTAAAGGACAGCTAGAGTTACGAAGGGTTAGAGTTGGATTTTCAGAAAAATAGCATGGGCATATATGGAATAAATTGACAAAATATTGAGGGATTTCAGAATAGCTGGTGGTCATAAGCTATTTCACAAACCCACAAATGTGGGTTTCTGAAATCCGGAATGTTTAAAATCTCTGATCGAAAAATTAGTTCCCAAACGAGTGATTTTAATTAAAATCTCTCATTGTGAGAGATTGTGTCCAAATCACTCATTAGAAACACTAATCCAAACGACCCCTATATGTTATCCAAATAGGGGTTGGCATTCTCCTCAACAAAACAACCCTTTATATGTGATTTGGTTAATTTGGTTTAGATAATTGGTTTGGTCCTAGATTTCACTAATTAAAGTAGTAAACTAACCAATTATTCTATGTATTTTGAAATTTATTAAATCATCAAGATTCTAATATATTATCACTTAGGTTATGTTTTTTTCTTCATTTAACTACACTACTACAACTCCATTTATTAGAACTTAAAATATATTTAAATTTAAACTCAATGTGTATTATCGAGTACTAGTTAGTTCAAAATTTAGTACGAAAAAATTTCAAACTCCTAATTCGAAATTGATAGAGAAGGGGTTAACCGTTAACATCTCCAACAATTTCACTAGAAAGTTTTTTTTCTTTCACCTTTTCCTTTACAAACAAACTAATATCCACTCTTCAAGGTGGAGGAAATGAATCAACAACTTTAATAACGACCCCTTCCTTCCCGCCTTTCATCTCACTCTTCTCCTCTTTTTTCTCAATCCAACCATTTTGTCTCCTCCCTCGTTTCTCGCCATTCCCTTTTCTGACCCCAACACCCTCCACCATTGGCAATCACGGACTCAAACAAACAAACAAATATACAAATTTTTAAAAACCTTTCGGCGAATGAGAAGAGAGCAAACTCAAATTAAAGAAACCATAAATGGGTCGTGTAAAGCTTCAGATCAAGAGGATAGAGAACGTCACGAATCGGCAAGTCACGTTCTCCAAAAGACGAAATGGCCTCATCAAGAAAGCTTACGAGCTCGCCATTTTGTGTGACATCGACATCGCTCTCATCATGTTCTCCCCTTCCGGCCGCCTCAGCCATTTCTCCGGCAAGCGAAGGTTTGTTGATTGTCATGAAATATGTTATTTATTTTATTTTATTTTTTCACGTAATAACCATTTCGTAACAAATTATTCAAACTTTATCTGTAGAATTGAAGATGTGGTCGCTCGCTACATAAACCTCCCGGACCATGATCGAGAATGGTAACATCTGCAATTTTTCTAAACTGTTTTTTTATTTTATTTTCCTATATTGAGAAGGAGCAGCTAATTACTTCTCTATTTACCAATTTCATTTCCATACGCAGTGACTTGATGGATCGCGAGGTAAGCCATGCACAAAAAATTAAAATCGTAATTCTTTTTTGCAGAAAAAAAACACAAAATCTGATTTTTTTCCTTGTAATAAGTATAGTAAATGGGTTTTGATTATTACTAAATCTCCCATGTATGCATCCATAATAGCATTTGCTCAAAATTCTGAAGAAGCTTAGGACTGACAATGACATTGCCCTTCAAGTAACCAAGTAAGCAGATGAATTGTATGTAGTTAAAATCGTAGTTCAATCGTTTAAACATGCATTACTTTTTCTAATAAACAACTATGTGGAAAGAAAGTTTATGATTTCTTTAATTTTTATTTTTCCTCTCTAATCATATCTCATGGCAAATCTGCAGCCCGGAGGCTACAAACTCAAACATTGAGGTAAAACCAGATGAAAATTTATTATTTAATTAATTTAAATAGATGATTTTATGAAAATATTGGGATGGAATAAGACACTAAAAATATGGGATGTTTTTATTTTACTTATTTTTTTTATAAATAATAGGAGCTACAACAAGAGGTTTGCAACTTGCAACACCAGCTTCAAGTTGCAGAGGACGAATTGAACCTATATGAGCCAGACCCTACAAAGTTCTCGTCGATTGGAGAGCTGGAGTCATGCGAGAAGAACCTCTTGGATAAAATGGCCCTTTTAGAGGAGCGCAAGGTATATGCATAACATGAATGAGATTCAAAAACAATGGAAGATCGATTGTTATCTAGTAGTTGAATATGATGTGTTTCGTTTGTTGCAGAAGTACCTACTGAGCAACCATGTCTCCACATACGACCCTGCAAGCATGCAGATCTACTTAGATGCGCAAGAGGGTCTACCGAATTTCGACAACAACGACCTCGCGAATTGGTTGCCTGATCACAATGCTGGACACAACCAGCAAAACTCTGTTCATCATGTAGTCTCAGAGTCATCCTGCATTCCTGTTAGGTTGATAACAAAGAAAAACTCCACTTTTATCTTTTTCAACTTTGCCTTGGGCTTATCCTAATGCAATAAGGATTGAACATTTTGGATGTTTGGCCAGCAACCAGTCGTCCACCTCACTATTTGAAGCACTGTCAAATGTCGGGGATCCTTGTAACAACATGGGAGGAGGAGGGAATCATATGAACAACAACAACAATAGTAATAATAACAATGACAACAATGAGAGCATCTCATCATGGCAGCAAGCTTTCTCATCGATTTCGCCGACGGAGCTTCTTGCTGGGTTCTTGCCCCCTACTTCTTTTGCTCCCACCATTAAGGTTCCCTCTGCCCCCCCTCTTTCTTCGTTGTCTAGTGTTCTAAGGTACATTCTTCTAAATTTAGTTATGGTGTTTAATGAGTAGCAGCAAGAGGTGGAAGGGCCAAGCTACACATTAATGTTGCATCAACAACAAGCTCAGGAGGCTCAATCAAACTGCCCACAGCAGCAACAACAAATGCAATCATCGAACGGTGGGGATGGGTTGGATTATCACGATCACAAGCTTATCCCACAGCTTCAGGTTGATTGAATGATTGATTGACCATGTCTTGTGTTCTAAGGTACATTCTTCTAAATTTAGTTATGGTGTTTTAATGAGTAGCAGCAAGAGGTGGAAGGGCCAAGCTACACAACAATGTTGCATCAACAACAAGCTCAGGAGGCTCAATCAAACTGCCCACAACAGCAACAACAAATGCAATCATCGAACGGTGGGGATGGGTTGGATTATCACGATCACAAGCTTATCCCACAGCTTTAGGTAAAGATTTATTGAATTTAGAAGGCTTCCCTTCTTCATTCCCCCCTCCATTTTCACCATTTTTTTCCAGTTTTCCTTCTCCTTTATTTTCTTCACTTTTGTAAATGAAGAAGCATTTAATTGCTTGAGTTACAAGAAACTATGAAGAGCATGATTTAAATATTTGATTTTCTGATAGAGATGTCACATTCACATAAACTTTGTCATATTATCATACCAATATCATCCAAGTTGATAATCAAATTGATTAAGGATTTGGGAAGAATTGGGGATAGAATTAGGAATTTGAGATATGGAGGGTTCGGTAAACTCTTGGACTCGACGAAGAAAGGGAAAAGAGAGGGAGATGAGGCTCGACTAGATAGAGGTATTAGGGAACTATACTTCTTATTATGATTACCTACTCTCTATGACATAGTTACAAAATATAAAATCCAACACATTTCCATAAAGTACCCGTTACTAACCCTTAATACGAAAATACCAAACATCACCACAAAACTTCCCTTAAAGTACAAAGATAATACAATAATAACCAAAATACCACTAAACATAAGTAATTGTTCAAATATCAAAATGGATGAAACTAGGATGAGTCAGGTTTCCATCATACCCTCTCCTTGAGAGAAACATTGCCCTCAAGGATGAACTGCATCCCCCTTCAGGGGTGGGCAACGGGAAACAGGTATTTGGGTATACCCATACCCGTCCCGTTTTTTTAGGGTTACGGGTACCCAAATACCCGTAAATTTTTTTACGGGATGAGATTTGGGAACAAGAAATTCTACAATGGGTACCCGCGGGTTACCCGTTCATACCCGTTTGGGTATTACGGGTTACCCGTTCATACCCTTTTGTCTTCTTTAAAGTAATAATACATATTCTTCCTTCGGTGATCTATTTCCATGTAATAATACATAGTTGCATATGAACCTTTTTCTTTAGAAATGGCTCAAGCATGGATGCATTACAAGGAAGTGAAATGAGAAGATGGATTATTATAATGAAAGATTCACCCATCTGCTAGGTTGCTTCTTCACCAACCCAGTAGCAGAATGAAAGAACTCCATCATCTTGTTGAGGCTTGTTTGGGCTTTAGTCGTGTAGGCTTATTTGGTTAGCAGAGAGCTATGAAAGTTACTGTGCAGGTGAGTGTAATTTCTTAGTTCCTGCAATTCAGGGTCATGGTGCCGAGAATTCTGCTTTGAAGTTGGCTTTGGTGTACTTATGTTAATTTGCTTCGTTGAATAAAGTTATTCTTTTTTTTTTCGGCTAATTAGCATACACATCTATGGCCGCTTAGCTTATTTATTGTGGCTAAATTTTCTTTCATTAAAATAATAGCGGGTACCCGTTATCCGTACCGTACGGGTAATGGGTACCCGTTAACCCATACGGGTTTGGGAATGGGATGGAGTTTCCTCTCCAAATGGGATTGGGTACCCGTTTCAAACGGGATGGGTACCCAATCTCGTCCCGTTGCCCACCCCTATCCCCCTGGTTTGCTTTTCCTTCATTGACTGCCATAAGGTGAGGATGCGGCACACTAGTTTTTCACCGTGTATCTCTCGCTGCAATTGAAGGAACCTTCTTCTTTGCGCTTCTGGTCTATATTCGTCGATGTCAGCCTCACAAACCCCTATGACATTTGGTAAGGGCCTGGTTGTGCAACCACACGTGCTACGACCCCTAATGTTTGCGATGCAGCTATCAAGGCGCCACTGCTCCTCCACCCAAACCTTTTGATGCCTTATGGAAGCACCATGTACTTCCCTTTCAACGTGCCAACTCCTCTTTTTTTTCTGACTTACAAATTTGGAAGTCACATGTAGTGACTTGCGGTCAAACACATTCACTGTTGCAAGTAACTCTGATCGTAGCCCCACCACTCACAACCCCACTTATGTATCTTCTGGAATGCCCTTGAACATGTTTTTTTAGCTTCGTAAACTCCTACTAATACCTAAAAATCGTCCCAATCTATCTCAGCTTGGCCAACTGCTCTCGCACCCAACCCTCTGCTATGCCAAATTAGAACTTAATTTCCTCCTTAAATCTTGGCCATGTGATTAGTAACTCAACATCGGTATAAGTCCCATCCACCTCCACCATTATAGGGTATCACCCTCCATATAGAAGGACACTATATGCACATTCCTCTCTCATAGTCACATGATTGTGGAACCACATGTTGGAAGCATACAACCATAATCTTGCGTTCTATTGGCCATTAAATTTATATAACATAATGGTAGGAGACTTGGCCCTAAGGTCATATCATCATCACCATCATAAGTGGGGTTATAACCATGACACCTATCGATGTTGCTACCGCAATGGCAACCATTACCGTTATAGCCCTGCTCATGATTTTGTCTGGGAGGCTCTAGGAAGTCCCATGCATCATGTTCCTCTGTCTAGTGTCATCCTTGACTTCTCAACCAAGACTTTGAGCCTTGTCCCATTTTCATACCTCGTCTTAGGCGATGCTTATCAGACCGGGGAGTCATCTGAGGAGAAAATACTGAATCTGCAGCTCTTTCAAACCCATTACCGCCTTCTAGATGTCCCCCCATACCCACTGCTTTCCCTGTAGTTCGGAGCGGACCTATTCGTTTTAGTCATAGTCCGACCCGTTTGTTTCGATCATGGTCCGATATGTTTGGTTTGGCTCGAACCAAATGGTTCTAGCCCAACTCGGGTAGGCGGCCAAACCTATTCTCCTCTCGATGGGCTCAAATTGTCCCATGTCCCACCTTTGGCAGTTAGGCGCAGCTGATCCTCTTTCATCTGACGGTTTATGCCAACTCGGGCCAATATAAAACCATCTCTTGCTTGTTCCCGCTCATCACCATTGGTCTTCAGTCCCACCCATCTAAGATCATCTTCAAAGGCCAACTATTCATAGCCCACCATTTTGGACTTTTGGTGAATTGCACCAATGTCCCGAGCGGACGAAGTGGGCAACATGCCTGCCCAGTGCCCCAATATTTGGGCTTCCATGAGTTGGCCCACACGGTTCGGCCTAAGGGATGCAGGGTCGGTTCCATTGCCATGCTCTGTGCGACCATCGTCGTTGCCGCGACGAATACCAGTATGGGCACCACTGCCGAGGGCACCAGAGTCGAAGAAGTTTCCTCCGACACGAGAGACTCACGCACACCAAGTGGATCTTTTGCTACTTGTGCCTGGCCCGACCTTTCATGCTCATGTTTCTTTGATACTTATGCGCATGTTGCTTGAATTTCAATCATTGGATTGTTGATAGCTCTACCATCAATTCATAATCAAATTATAGTCAAATGGATGTTAAAACAACATTTTTAGACGAAGATTTGGATCAAGAAATTTACACGAAACAACACGATTGATTTGTTATATCGGTCAAGAGTATAAAGTGGTAAAGTTGAATCTTTGTGTGAGATTAAACAAGCTCCTAAAAATGACGTCATAAGTTTGATGATGTGGTTTTCTCAAGCGATTTTCAGTGAAACCAAACTGACAAATGTGTATATACAAAATGTGATGATTCTAGGAATGAAGTCATCATCATATATTTGTACGTAGATAATTAACATGCTTATCTTTGGTACCAATCCAAAATAAGTAAACCTCAATAAGAAGTTTTTGTCATCTAAATTCTTCATGAATAATATGGGAATGCATATGTAATTTTGGGTATCAAAATGAAACAGAGCGACATAAATGTTTCATTGTGAAAATTGTTGCGACTTAAAACCCAGATGGATTGGTATGGTAGCTGATACTATTTTCAGGGGAAGTGCTGCTATAATGTATACTAGTCTTCATTGCCCGCGCTCCGCGTCGGGACTTATGGTAAATTTATGAAACTATACAATTAATGTAAAATCTTATCAACATTAATGGGTCTCCAAATCTTGGCAACCAGTCATTCAATAATTTGATTAGAAGAATCAAATTATGTGAAGAACACACAGTGAGAGATTTCATCATTAGTATACCCTGGAGTAGAAGACGGAATAGGTTAAGGCCCTTTACGAATGTCTGGTTATGTAGAATAACTGTATAAGCTTTCCTGAGTGCAAAGAAATACAGGTGTACCACAACAATGTTCTAGCAGGAAACTATAAAAGGTGCCAAACATTAACCAAAGGAAGTCATTTTTTAGGCCACGACATATAATCTTGATTACCGAGGGTTGCTTAACAGTTATCCATAGCAAACAAAGCTTTTTAGCAGAGGTACAATCACTGCGAAGACCAAATAATTATGACATTGTTTAATTATTCCCACACAATCTTTCAGTACAAAATAAAAACGCTTTGTCAAAGAACCCAGAGAAACCCCAAAGCTTCAATCTGCTGCTGCAAGGGTATTGGAAACCATAAGAAAAGTTAGATAAAGAGAGGAAACAAAGACATCTAGCAATATAGAGGCAAAAACTCAGTAGATGAAAGAAACTTTTTCATTAGTTGATCCAAAAAGCATCAAACACGAAGGGCCTTTATTTACTTCAATGGGTTGCCATTATTGTTCTAAAATTAGGCTTATCGCGATAGAAACTAAGGAAAAACAGTTGTATTATAGAGCTTTCGGATTTCTCATACCATCAAAGTGGTGCGTCATAGCACTATGTGTTATTGATTTAAACGATCGCATTAGATTGCAGCAAAGAGAATACTAATCTAATATAGGCATTCATAGAAAAGGATGAAACCAACAAAGACATCAGATCATCTATCCCGGAGAAATTTACCCCAATGATATGCATTTCACATGGTTGATACTTGATACCTCGTGGAATAGATACAGAGCTAGGAATGTCCGGTGCCTACCTATTAAGATAAAGGAACTGAGGCAAGAACACCAAAACAAACAGTAAGCATTAACCAGAACTGTCAAAGGGAGAAACAGAAGATAGAAAGGAGACGAAAACCAGAGAGTATATCTACACAACTACAATAAGCAGGATGAGCTAAGAAAAAGAGGATCATATCCACAAAGTAGAAATTAAGAGCATTAAGGTACCCTCATAATAATCCAACAAAAGACACAACAACAGATTGACCATCGATGGTTGGTTATGAGAGAGAGCGATTAGCTGAATCGGGAGTAACAGGCGGTGAAAATTCATCAGCTTGTTCTCCGCTGACATCAATCTTATCACCATCCGCTATGGCTGTCTCCAAAAAGATTGAACCAACCCGTCTAGAAATTAGAAAACATGCTCAAGAGAGAGTAAGAAGTAATCACAAAACATGAAAATGGGGAGAATGAGCCTATCGAGTTTTAACTGGTCAAAGAGAAAGCACAAAGCAAAAATGAAAGCAGAACCTAAAACCAAAACACCAGAAACCTAAGATTGTGGGGGAAATCAAGATATGGATTTAGAGTCCACAGTTGCCGCCTCCGATCCGGTTAGCGCTCACGACGTGAATCGCTCCAATCATAGTTTCCGGCTGTAGTACAGTAGCTCTGAGGTATCTGCTCAAAGTGGCAGTGCAGAGCGAAGAGAAAGAAAGAAGGAAAAGGGAAATGAGTCTCTGGAACTAAAGAGATGAAATTGGACAATTATGGTCAGGAACTCAAATGCTTACCCTCTTCCCCATCGCTAGCGTAGGTGAAGGTCACATAATCTCCACTTGCTTCAGCTGAGCAAATCAGGCAGTCCTACTCCTCTGCGACCGAGTTCCATTTCAAAAATTATTAGGCGATTGAAAGAGAATAAGGGGAACACAAACTCGAGATCAAGCAACTGGGAATTAGGGATTGAAAACTCTAAAATACCTACGACTGAGAAGGGACTCGCGTGCTGACTATAGCCGCCGGCGATGCTTGGCGTTTCTGATGTGATTGTTCACAAAGACCGTCGATGAGGAGAGAGAGAGAGAGAGAGAGAGAGAGAGAGAGAGAGAGAGAGAGAGAGAGAGAGAGAGAGGAGACACTTGAAGGAGGTTTCTTACTTTCTCCCACCCCTGTCGACTAATAGGGCCTCTAGGGGAAAAAAAGTAATGAGTGGAGTTCACATAGGGGACTGCGCCGATTAAGTAAAATGAGAGGCTTAGGAAGGAATACGTGGTGCTACATCCACCAAGTAAATAAAATATCTCTGACTCTCTTTTCTTGAGACACCCCAAGTCTCATCCAAAGACGTGATGACCAATGCGCAGGCACAAAGACCAAAAATGGGCCCATTCAGTCTCCATGTAACCAATGTGTGACCGCGTCTGTTAGAATGCAAGGAAAGCTGAAATAGACCTCTCACATGAAATATGACAGTGGTTCAAAGAGAACATGTCATCCGAAACCAATCAGAGAACACGCTGCACCCTCCCACACTGAAGTCTCTTCCGAGTTGTAACAGTAATTTCAGTCTGTATGTACAGTAGTTTCAGTCTTGGCGTACAGTACAAGCCCCTTAGTGGGTTTTCTTCTTTCAATATATTGAGTAATTATAACAGCACAACCTCGTTCTCCTTTTCTTTTCTTTTTTGTTTCTCATCCTTGTATTATAATTTTCCACCTTCTTTCCCATTTCATTTATTTAGTTTTCAACTTCATAAACACACCTTGTGGTTTCCATCTGTTCCTCTTTATTTGAAACTATAATCTTCACCTTCATCGAAAAAATGTGTTATGTATGTTTCATGAGTACATGAAAATTAAATTGACCTTTATTTGAACAGTAGAGGACCAATTTTTTTTTTTTTTTTTGAAATAAAACCATTCTTCTTGTTCATTCATGCGAAGTAGTTTTTTTTAGTGTTACTCCTTTTTGTGTATAAGAATTGTTACAGAGCGGATGATTTCAGTCTTCATAGGAAGGAAAAAATCGAAAGACGACCACAGTAGACGCGCAAGGCAATCCCGCAGGGGATAAGTATACCAAAAGAGGATCTAAGCCATCCGATCACTCCATCACTGTGAACCAACGGATGGGATTCAACTTTCGGATCCAAATTCAATCTTCCCGCCAAAGCTAACTGAAACAAGAGCGTGTAGAACATTCCGTCCTCTCACAGCTTTCCTCACGCTTCCGCATCTCTCGCTCCCTGCACTTTACCCGACGCCACGCTCCTTCACGCGCCTCCTTCCGTTAACCGCCTGGCCTCGCCTATAAAATACCCGAGTTCAGAGCGATCATCCCCTTCAGTCGCTCACTCACCATTTCTGCAATTCCTTCACCCAAACGCTCTCATTTCTCTCTCATCCTTTCCCTCTCTGTTTAGCTCCGAACTCGCTCCCATGGCGACTTCTCACTCGGTCGCCGTCACTTTTGCGATCCTGATCCTCTCGCTCTGCACCTCGCGAGCTGCTTCCGCCGTCGGCTTCGACCAGTCGGCGATCTCCCCTTCGGTTTCCGCTACCGCAGCAGCGGCCTCATCTGCGAACACTCTGTTCCAGCCGTTTCCGCCGATCCAGTCTCCGTTCCCGTCGGCCGCTCAGTCGACGCCGATTCCACAGCCTCAGCAGCAGCAGCAGTCGGCCGTCTCTGCTCGCGATTCCGCAGCCGATCACTCCTTCATCCACACAGCTCTCCTGGCTCCGATCCTCGCTCACCTCGGCTACAACGAGCTAGCCATGGCGGTTCCGACTCTCTCCTCCGAGTCCACCGCCACCGCGTGGTCCGGGCCTTCGACTCTGTTCGCTCCTTCCGACGCCTCTCTCCACTCCTGCTACTCCTGCTCCGTTCCCAGCCTCCTCCGCGAGCACATCGTCCCCGGCCTCTTCACCATGGACTACCTCCGCAAGCTCGCCTTCGGCACTAAGGTCGAGACTCTCACTCCCGGTAAATGCATCACCGTTACCTCGAGCTCCGCCAAGAATTTCACCGCCGCCCCCCCCTCCGCAGCCAAGATCTTCATCGGCGGCGTCGAGATCACTCGTCCAGATCTGTTCAACAACGGATTCCTCGTGATTCACGGAATCCAAGGCTACATCGCGCCTCTCTCCCCGTTCTCCTGCGACGTAGAGCGTCTCAACTCGCTCACGTTCCCGTTCCAGCAGCCAGATCGCGTCCCCGTTTCCGGCGGACCGAACCAGATCTCTCCGCCGCTCGTCCAGCCCGCGGTCATGCGATTGATGATGCGAGACGCGATTCTCCGCCTCCGCAACAACGGATTCAGCATCCTTGCTCTGGCGATGCGAGTGAAATACCCCGAGCTGATTGCGCTGAGCAACATGACGATCTTCGCTCTCGACGATTTCTCGATCTTCTCCGGATCGTACTCCTACATCAGCAGCGTGAGGTTTCACATCGTTCCGAACCAACTGTTGACCATCGCTGACCTGGAGCGACTCCCCGTCGGATGCACTCTGCCGACTCTGGAGAGCGGCCAGTCTCTGGTGGTTACAACAGCGGCCGCCGCCGCTTCTTCTACCGGTGGTGTTACGACTCAGCAGGCAGCGCCGATGAGGATCAACTACGTCAGGATCAAACTGCCGGACGTGATGCGGAACTTGAAGATTGCTGTGCACGGGATCTACCTTCCGTTCCCGAGGATCTACCAGTCTACCACTCCAGCTTCCGGCGCTACTCAGAGTTTCGACCATGGAGTGTGGGGATCAGGCACGGTGGAGAACACTCAGGCTGACTCTGCTTCTGCATCCTCCGACTGTGCTGCTAAGTCAGAGAAGGACGGAAGCTGCGCTATGGTGCCTGTCCCCCCGGTGAAGGCGACGCTCGAGGTGGAAGACAATCACTATGGCCTGTGAATGGAGCCTTAGGTGAACGATTCGTTTGCCTCTCTATCATCAATTTTGCGATTCGGATTTTAGATTTCCTGTTCGTTCAGTTTTTCTCTGTAATTCGGCTGTGGAATGTTCGTTTGGGAATCGGGAGGAGTAGCGAGTTCAGTATCTCATTCGACTCAGCTGCTGCTACCTGGTGAGTTATCCGTACGAGTTCTGTACGTAGGCCCGCCGCAGGGGACGACACGTGTGGGCAAACTATCTTTGGCAGCCCTTCTTTGAATTGAATAAAACTTCCCCTTTTTCTGTTATCTACTCTCGTTTTCTGTTACTTGCAAGTTCATACAATTTTTTTCCAGCCAAGGTTCTATTAGTTTTCATCTGCATTCGTAATTTCCAAGTAGTAATTCGTGAATACATGGCGGTTCTCTTTCATCGCTTCATCTCTAACGAACTCCAGCGCCGGTGGGCTGGGTGATTCCTGGAAAGCTTTGGTTAATTGGTTTATGACTATGAGAAATGGTGACTGGTGAGTGGTGACCGTTATTATCAAATTTAGAAGAGGATTCGCTGTTGAGCTAGCCCGTTAAGATATCTCTTTTGGCCCAAGTCGAGCTTGGTTTGGGCCTATTCTTCTTCGCAGTTGGTTCTTCTTTTTCTGATTTCAAACTGCCGAACAGTATTATAATTAAAATCCTATAGCAAAGAATGCTGGCCCGCTAAATTCTTTACCAATTACCATGGTCCATGGCTAAGCAACAAAGAAGCTAACAACTGAAATCAATAACAATGATTCAGAATTTCCAACGGGAACGTTTTATAGATGAACTTATTTGGGCTAAATTGCAAGTTTGGTCACTTAAATTACGAGTAAAGTTCACGCCTGCCACTGGAATTACTTTATTCCATCCGTAGTCACTTAAATTAGTTCAACGATTCAAGTTTGGTCACTCTGTTAGTCTCCGTAAATTTTGTTGACGTGGTAGTCAACTCTGATGGTTGACCGCTAAACGAGCGACCATAATTGTGTACTAGTGTTTACAAATTTATTTCTTCATTAAAAAGATTGCGTTACATAGTGTAAATCGTTGATATAATTAAAAATATATTTGAATTGTGAAATCTGAACATATTTCAAACAAAAAGCCACTTTATGTTTAACCATATACTATAATTGTGTCCTACATATTTCACGAAAATCATGTATCATCAAATTTTATTTATTTGTTTAAATTTAAGGAGAAATATTATTCAATCAGATTCCTCATTCCTGTCTATACAATAAAACACCATGCACTAAGTAAATACAATCATACCGATATAAAATAATTTCTCTCCTAATCAGGAACCGGAAATCATTAGGTAGCTAACCTACCCAATCAGCTAGCACAAATTTCGTAATCACCAAATTGTAACGCATAATTAAAACAATCCTTGTTTACATGTCCACCAGTGAAGTACATACAGTTTTTTTCCAAGTAATTTTGAGTTGCAATGAGACATTCGATGCAATCACGGGAGGTTAGGTTGGGGCATTCAGCTCGAGTCCACATGGTAGATCTTTCCATAGTCAATCTGATACAACCAAATCAGTAAGGATGTACATAACAATTATGAAGATAACTGCGATAAGTTGAAGTAAACTCACCATTTTGAAAGTACGAAGTTGTGTGATAGATACAAAAAGATACTTTTGTGTGTGTCTCTAAACCTATGAAAAATTCAAGATTTAGATTGTTGAAACTATCATTATGTTTTACTTGTATAGCATGTTAAAAATTTACCGCATATCATGAATTTATTCGACTACATTATCCAGTAAGTTTGTTGTGATGCCACTAAATCATCCGCATGACGCTAGATCTATAATGACAGAAGACTAAAACGTAATCAAAATTTTATTAATCTAATTAATTTTAAAGCAATTTGATCAACGGATTCTGCACACAAACACAATATGATTTTTCTTTATAATCAACCTGTAATTTATTTATATAGAAATATGGCCTTTACAGTCTTGAGCTAGAGCTTAACAGAGAAAAATGGGAGGCCTGGTGACTCAATTTTTGTGGGCTCCCCAGTAACAATTTGTATGGGCCGCACAATTGGCTTGTCTTTTAGCAAAAGCCCAACGAACTTTCTCCTTCCCAACTTTTGTTGTTATCCCTTCAATCTCTTCCACGATCGATTCCACCTCCGTTCTCCTCCTTCCTTCATTTCCAAAATGCAAGAACAAGCCTTGGCAATCCGTCTAGATAATCACTGGGAGGAGCTAATGTTGGATTGCAAATCTCAGGTCGTAGAGCATTGCTCTGCCTTTCGCTAACTCCGGTTCCCACTGGAATTGTTCCGTTGCCACAAAAGCCATGAGGAAAGATCCTGACGCATTCCTCGCCACCACACCCAAGCCAGTTCCTTTATTTTTTAGCACAACGGTGTCAACGTTCACCTTGTTCCATCCTTTCGGCGACGGCAACTAGGTAATCCTCCCTCCGCTAACTGCTCCCTCTTCCCTTTCCCTATGTGATTGAAATTTTTCCAGTAGATCTAGAGCTTTGCTGACGATTTTCCAATTTTGCAGTTTATGGTTATTGAACATATGATTGTTTCTTTCATTCCATAGTTTCCATAGGATCAGTTCCAGTCTGCTGAGCACTTTATCGTTTACTCTTTCCATTACCTCACAGAGTCGACTTCCACCATTAGATTCTCCCCTGATTCGAAGAGAGGCATGTACTTAGTTGATCTCTAGATCTTAGTTGCCCAAGGGCATTCCCAAAATATATGGTTTTGTGTCTCAACTTGGTTGCAATACGGGCACTCGATTGGAGCCTCCTTTTTCCTCCCTTCTATATTCTTCTCCATTGGCTAAATGTCATGGACGAATTGTCATAGAAAGGTTTTAATTTTTGTGGGAATGTTCAAAGCCTACATACGCTTCCAGTTCATAGGGTTGTAGATTTCACCCTCTGCCTCTTCGTTCTCCTCCCCTTCCTCTTTGTTGTTTCTAGCTTTGTACCAAAATTTATATGCCGATCAGACCGTATAAACGTCTGACTTCTCTCTGCTCCATATCCTTTTGTCTACTGATGGTTGCCTAGGAATAGTTATCCCTTCAAAACTCTCTGAAAACCTTCTTTGTTCGTCGCGATGGCCACCGTCGCCGATGGAGCCACGCCTGGCGCTGTTGGTGGTGGTAGGTCCTGGGCTTCTCTCTTTCATGTCTCGGAGGAGGTTCGATTGGATTTCGATGAGCCCGAATTTGTTAATGGGTCACTTTGGATTCCCAAATCGGTGGTCGAGGAGGGTACGAAGAAGTGGGAACACAGCCTTGTGGGTCCATTTCTGGTTGCACTGCCTTACCTTTCGGCTTTGAGATTCTGGGCCAACTGGATCTGGAGTCGAGATGGGGAGGTGAAGGTTTCAGTATTAGAAGATAAGCTCGTTCTCTTTCAATTTCCATCGGAGGCAACCTGTCGATGGGTTTTTGAAGGGGGGTCGTGGCACTATCGAGAGAAGATTATTTGTCTTCGGCGCTAGGTTCCTGGGATTCGTGCGTTAGAGATTGACAATTCAGCTGTTCTGGTTTTGGTCAAGTTATTTGGGTTGCCTGCTGAATTGGCGATGAGGGAAGGATTAGGTCGGATTGCGAGTTCTATTACTAAGCCTCTTTGTATGGATCATTCTACTGTGCAATGAGAGAGGGTTGGTACTGTTCGTATCTGTGTGGAAGTAAGTGCTACGAAGCCTAGGATTGACAAAATTAGCATAACTCCAGATGATATGTCTGAGTTTCTTATTGGAATTGAATACTGTGGGCTGCCTCGGTGTTGTGGTGCCTGTGGGGTTTTTGGGCATGATTGCTCTCTCCCACCTCCTGGGACTCGTACTAAAAGAGTTTGGTGTCGCAAGCAGTCCAAGGTTTTTGTGTTGGGGCAGACTGGGGTTGAGGGTGCTAATGAGAAGGAGGTTGTTCAGGCTATGGAGGAGGAAGCTGCTGCTATTAAAGGCAAGAAGGTTATTGAGGATAGCACACCTCCTCTTACCCCGAGTGCCTTGCCTTCTCAGGAAGAGTTCAATAAGGTGATTAATGGAGCAAAGCCAAAATCTGCTTTGAAGATACCTACTCCTATATTACATTCTAATGCTTTTGATCTATTATGTGGCTAACGAGACATTACATTGCAAGCTCCTCCGAAGAAAGGGGGAAGGGATGGGCTAAGAAGTAATGGGGGAACCACTAAGGTGGTTGTTTCCTGAAATGACGCTGCTCAGTTAGAATACAAGGGGCTTCAATGGTCCCTTGAAGCACAATGCAGTGCTTCATTATCTTCGGGTACACAGGGTTTCTATCTTTGCTTTACTTGAAACGTGAGTGCAAAATAAAAAGAAAATTGAGGAAATAAGGGGGAAATTTGCGGGCTTACAGTTTGTTGATAATTACTCTAAACATAAGCTTGGTAGGATTTGGATTGCATGGAATGATGATGTTAGACTACGAGTGCTAGCTGAGGAGGAAAATTTTGTGCATGTTGTGGTTTCACTGAAGCAGAGTGTACAGTTTTTCTTCATAGTGGTGTATGGCTCCAATGAGGTCAAAGATTGTGTTGTCATGTATAAGCAAATGAGTCATTGGAGGGTTCAAGGGGCTCCTTGGGTTGTAAGGGGTGATTTCAATGCTATTCTAGACCCTGCAGAGGCGTCAAATGATATCTCTATCTCAGGAAGTATGACTGCCTTTAGAGAATGGGTGGAACAGATGGAGCTAGTTGACCATAAAGCCTCAGGGCCTCTATTTACTTGGTCTAATCAGCAGCAAGGTAATCCCATTGCTCGCAAGCTGGATAGGTTCATGGTTAATGTGGACTGGTTAGAGAAGTTTTCTGAATGTGTTGTTCAATTTTTGGCACTTGATTTCTCTGATCATTTTGGGATTCTGATTATTCCTAGTGTTCCTGAGAAGTCTTATCCGAAACCTTTCCGCTTTTTTGATATGTGTTATTCACATGATTCTTTCTCTTCATTGCTGGAATCTTGTTGGGGGGCAAGTTGTGAGGGGGCCGGGACTGTTTGGAGTTAAATAAAAGTTATATTTTCTGAAGCCAGAACTTTTGAAACTGAATAAATCGGAGTTCTCAAATATTTCTGCTAGAGTCAAGGATAAAAAGCAAGATCTTACAACTAAGTAGATTCAAGCTCTTCAGGATCCATCTGAAGGAGTTTTTGAGAAAGTTCGCATTCTCACTGGTGATTATATACAGTTGCAAAAAGCAGAAGAGGCTTTCTTCCGGCATAAGTCTTGTATTACTTGGCTTGCCCTAGGAGACTCTAACTCGGGGTTTTTCCACAAGTCTGCTTGCATACGTAATGCCAGAAAGAAGATAAGGAAAATAATCTCTCATAATGAGGAAGAGTTAACGGATACTAAGAATATTGCTGATGAAGCGATATTTTTCTATAAGGATCTATTTGGAATTATAAATAAAGATGTGGTTGTGGGTTGTGGACTCATTGAAGGCTGATTGAGTGAGAAGCTGACAGACGCTGATCGGCTTATGCTTTGTGGGTTGGTTTCTGGGGAAGAGATCAGGCAGGCTTTATTTGACGTGAACCAAGCAAAATCTCCAGGTCCAGATGGGTGGACAACAAGATTTTACCAGAAATGTTGGGGAGTTGTTGGCCCTGATATAATCAAAGGTGTCCAGGCTTTCTTTCAAGAAGGGCATCTGCCACGAGGTATGAATTCTGCTTCATTGACCCTTGTCCCGAAAATACCAAATGCAGAGAGACTTAATGCTTTTAGACCTATTGCTTGCATAAATGTTATATACAAGATTATATCTAAAGTGTTAGCAAATAGATTAAAGAAATTTCTTCCTTCTGTCATTAGTCGAAATGAATCGCCCTTTATTCAGGGGCGTAGTATCTTAGAGAATATCCTAATGGCTCAGGAGATTGTTCAGAATTATAATAGGAGTCAACTATCTTCTAGGGATGCCATCAAGGTGGATCTTAAGAAAGCATTTGATTCTGTCCACTGGGGATATCTTCTTAGTGTAATGAAGTTGATGGGATT